TTTTTAACTTTAACGAAATGTATCCGATAACATATCTCATGGTATTCTACTTCAATCCATATCGACAATTATGCAGTATCTTAACTATAAAAGAAAGCATAAATAATAAATATAATTTACCAACATATATTTTAACGTCATGGTCTGACGTCATTATTCTTGAGCCGATGTTCATTTATGTGTGTGTAAAATGCAATCATCCTGATACGGTTTTTTTGTAACGCGTGGGACCATAACCAAAAAATTGACCGTTAAATTAAAATATTAGATTTGTGGTGAAATCAGAAAAATACTAACAAAAAATCAATGAGAACACTGAATTTCCAATAAGGCACAGTTGGAAAAACAATCCATTTTCTTTTTTAGATTTACATAATCTTTATGAAAATTCTTAACACAAGCTACCGTACCAATCAATTTGACAACCTATCCATGACAATAGGAACGGTATAATTAACGCATCTGTTAATTAGCGATTAAAATAAATAAACCGCTTAAATACATAAAGTAAAGCTCCATACACACTATCAAACTTTTATGCGACAAATAAATGTGGTATGCCCATATTTGGATGTAATATGATATCATCATACGCATATATTGGCACATCACATCGTTTTACGCTGCATATCTTGTATTTCAATTTTTATTGTATTTCTATTCTTATTAACTTTTTACTGATTTCATTGATGATTTTGTACATATGATTTTTATATATATTTTGATGATATTTTTACTTGACTATTTTATGCTAATTTAATATTCTCATTGGCATCGGAGACTAGACAGTGATTTAGTTCACTTTTTGGCAACCCTTTCTGGCCAATTGGAGTCCTTTGTATATTTCTCTCTCTGTTTTTTTGTGTTTGTTTTAATGTTCTTATGGACCAAATAAATTAAATGAAATGAAAAATTACAAAAAATTGTCACATAAACATTGGATAGTGTAGACAGAGCTTAAGCAATTAAAATATGACATGGTTCAAGTTTATTATTTATAATGTTGTCCATAGAGCATAATTATAGCATTTATTATTTTGCAACAATTTTTACACGTTTTTCCTGGTAGGTTCGATTACTAATGCGATCATTACTATCTGTCAAGCTTTGTCCAGACGATTTAATTTTATGTGAAAAATAATTGTGACATGCCCATAATATAATGTGTGCAATATCATCATGCCCTTATTTAGGCTAGTACGGTATTTGGGCACATCACACAAATTTGCTACATAAAATTTGCTAATCCGGATAACATTATGTAATAGGCCTCTAAAGGACATGCTGAATTCGGTCAAAGTGCCCATAGGATTTTTGTAAAAAATACCGGGGAAAACGCATTAAATAAAATTAATAATACTTTCTTTAAAAAGTAATAATAATACAGTTCATACTTAGCGCAAAATAAAATATTTCACATCCTAATGCTTATGCGCTGCGTATACAGTACTCTACACACGGCTTGGCATCATATTTTTATGAGACAAACATTGTTATATTTAGTTTCTATTATCCTTAATTAATAAGGATACACTGCCAAGTTTCAACGTAGACTTATTACCTTTGGATTTTGATAACTAGTCCTAAAATTATAGTACTGGTATTTTTTTTTTTTTTTTTTTTTTTTTAAGAATCAATGGTTTTCATTTTTATCAATATATGCTGAGCTCTGATAAGGTGATGCCTATTTTACCTCTCAGTCATGTTTCAATTGGTTGTGAGTGCAAATGGTCAGATGTTTCAGATGATGGTGAATCTGGGGGTAACGGTGACGGTAGCGATTCGTTCGATGGAGAGCCTACTGACGACATTGTATCTTCCATATCAGATTTTCTTGGACGACCCTTTGGTTTAGTCGGTGCTTCGTGGTTTCCACACTGCATCACCTGAAAAAACAAGTTGTCATATAGGTCTACGTTATTTTCAGCTGTATGTTTACTTGTATTTATATTTAATTCAGTAAGTCGACTGCTCGCTGGTGGAATCAACATCGGAGTCACCGTGTATGTTCGCATCTGGTTCACGATGTAACTTAAACAGCACTATGCACCGTTGAAAGAATTCGATTATTCTGGTGCTCTACATCAATTCAGCCCCAACCCCCCTTCATAGTATAATGATGCTATATTGAATAGTATGCCTACCTGGGACACAACGATCTTTCCCACCAACAATGGTTAGCAACTTTAATCAACTACGCAATTACTAATGCCGTACATGGTTATTGTGCTTTATTAAAGCTGCTTCACATCGAATCCGAATTTTCGAATAGGAAGGCCTACCGAACCGATCAGAAAAACGAATCAGTGTGTAAAAATAGGGACGCTGGCGTTCAGCGCATTGGAAACGAGGTCCGAAATTCGGTTCGGATCCCGATGTGGATGCAGATTTAGTGTCTCATAATGGCCTAACCTACTATTCTTACCTGTTTCTTCCACTTCATTCTTCTGTTTTGATACCAAGTCTTTACTTGCAATTGACTTAAGCCTAACGTCTCCGCTAACTCTAGTCTGTCAGGTGTAGATAGGTATTTCTGTTTTTCGAAACGTTTCTCTAGCCCTAGAAGCTGCAGCTCGGTGAAGACCGTTCGGCTGCGACGGCATTTCTTCGTTTTAGATGGGTCCGGTGTGCTAGGTGATTTCCCTCGAAGATAAACTGGTACGGGAATCGGGACAGATAAATGTGACGACGATTGCATTGGATGGTGTGCAAGAGCATCTGAAATATCAATAATAACTGAGTATTTAATAGCCAGAAGACAAAACTTAGGATAGCTCGTTGTGGCGCACCGATATTGGTGGTAAGCTTTGGCGCGCAGATTCTCTAGTTCAGTACAGAAGCCAATATCGATATTTTCTTTTCTAATTAAACATTATTTAACATGTTTACTTACAAATACTAACTGTTATAGGCCTTGATATTCTAGTACTGCATAGTTAATGCAGTTATTTTTTTTTCAATGTGAAAGATTAGTACGATATGAAATCTGAAATCGTACATGATAGGCTAGACAGACTAAATTATTGAAACTGCGCAAGAATATTCTAGCACAGTTTCGACTCTGCGCACATATTTTAATATATATATAACAGTTCTAAGTTCAGGTTTTAGGACTTAAGTTTTCTGTCTTCTGACTGACTGATACCCCTTACAGTGGAAAGGTGCGCTTTAAAGTATTTTTCGTGTTGAAAATTAAGTACTATAGGTGGTGGGCCTAATTAGGTAAATTATACGTCACCATTCTAGCCCTCCTTCCAATTATTTTAGATTAAAATCTTTTTTTTTATATAAGGAGACAGAACCAATTTAAAATATGTTGTCGCTGTAGATAAGCTGTACAAGGCGGGTGTATAAAAATGAGTTTTGAATTACCATGTAAATTAATAATTAGATATCGTATTAGCTTCCTATGGACATTTAGAGCCAGTATCATAATGAAACAGAAGTAAAAGCGTCACGTCACGTGAAGATGAAAAGCCAATACAGTTCTCTCTGCGACTCAAATGAGGTATTAAAAATATATAATTAGCGAGTCGCAGAGAAATCGCGTGGCGAAGTAAGTCAATGGCATGGGTCAGACATAATTGTCACACAAAAGTCAGACGGTATGTATTTATAAGGTATTTGATTGCTACCTCTACAAGCCGATTTGGTGTCAAAACCAATTTCCGAGATAACCAGAGGTCACCCGATGTGCCAAACCGTTTGACTTTTAGTTGAAAGTGCCACCCAAAATCGATGACATTTCCTAAAACAATCCCAATCTCTTCGCAGGAGACCTGGCAGATATCAATTATTAGTCAATTTCTCAGATTTGTGATGAAGTCTGCTCGCCACATGAGTATGCGCAGAATTTTGTTTGGTTCAAGAGTGTATGTAATAATATCCAGCAAAGTAATTATTAATTATTGTACATTATGATACATATGGGGATATGAATCTGATGGTTTACGCGTATTATGGTATAGAATTTTTACTATGTTTCACCTTAAATTCCATTTTGTAAGTAGCAGGTTTCCCACTGCAGAATGAGATTTGTTTTTATATAATTTAAATACCTGAGCCTTGCTTGGTAATGTGGACATACATGTTAACACCAATATTTGAAACTGCGTTGTAGAAACAAAAGATGTACACATACCCAAGTAAATCACATAGATTTGGACAGTTTAAACATATACACTTTTTGTTTTTAAGAACACATTTTAAAAGAAAACTGAGGCGGAAATTGCTTAAAATTTAAGAACAAAATAAAAACAAATTGAGGCTGAGGTAAAATGTCAAATGAGGTTTTTTTTTTAAATAACCAGAATAACCCCAAAAATATAATCTGTACCTTATGTGCAGCTCCCTATAATGTATAATACAGTATAGTACGTGTATACCTACCTGTCATTTGGGGCAATTATTACTAATTACTCATTATGGACATAATTGCTGTCTTCAAATATGTTGGTCAGCGTGAACTGCAAGAACCTAAACGTGTAACTCATCGCCGTATATTTTAATATGTTTTTTCTATACTTCCGGTCCACTGCACGATAGCACCCTTGACAAGGATTGGGTTTGACGTAAAGGAGATGGTCGAGTACATACGATATTTATTTTCTCATCATTTTGTTTTGGGGATTATTTTATTAGGACATTATAATGACAGATCAATTTAGAATCTTTCAGAATACACACAGGCCACTCTCAATCAAATACCGGGTAGCTATTTTAAATGAAAAAATTCAATCATGGCTCGGTTTTCTCTGACCTCAAAGTTTTACCTCGGTGAATTTACTAGAATTCAATAAGACATCCTATTTTTACACCTTTCCAACTAGCATTTTGACGTTATAAAAACGTTATAATTACGGTACAGTTTGGTATTCAAAGCGACTTTTTTGTTGAACCATAAATACATATTAAAATACGTATATTTTACTGACGAATTTTCATCTAACAACGTTGCTGTATTTACGTTTACGTCTTTTCATCTTAAGAAGTCCGTCACTGCAAGATTCAACGTTCTGCAACGTTGTGTTAAGGTCATTTCTGATATAACGCAACTGTAATGTTCACAACATTTGAGAAATTTGTTAAAGTAACGGTATTTTTTTTCTTTTTTTTTTGCTGAGTTGAAACTGTTAGTGATTGTTTATACAACTTATTTAACAATAAAATATTATGCTGCATGTCTATATGTCAGTATGCTAGGAGAAAATTTAAGCAAATATTGCCAGCAGAGTTTCTGACTGACAAGAAACCATTAGTAGGTTTGCATGTGACGTAATCGACATGACTTCTCGCGCCGGTCACTTGATTCCTCCTTGGTCACTATGCAGTTGATTTACGTTAACATTCTTGTACTTGGGTCTTATCCAAACTTTACTTATTTACTTATGCATTGGTTGTCTGATAATGATGACGACCGCCGCCGACGAAGATGATGACTATTATATAAGACCCCATTGAACTGAATGATCATGTTTATATTTAGTTAGTTTGATGAGCCTAATTAGCATACATTTCTTATAGCACAATTTGTAATTATATTATTTTTAAATAATTTATTGTTTTATATATAGATTGGATTGATTGTTCGGTGTGAATACACCAAGAATATACAAAAGACAATTGCATTCCTTCTGTTGGTGAATTGGGCAGCAAATCGTGAGACAATCCCAAACATAATGAATATTTTACCAATTATATAGTAATTTCTATGTAGAAACCTACAGTGGATTAAGGAGTCTGACCTAAAATTCACATAAGTCTACTTGGAATGTAAGATTTTAGGTTCCAATTATAAGATCACAGTTCGGGTCTGATGGCTAACCCACTTTATTTACTTGTCTCTCTCCACTAAGGAGTAAAGTTGATACCTGGTAGGATCGAGTGTCAATGTAGGCCTACTGATTGTTAAGCCTACTAACTGAAGATGTAGGTCTATTCCACCAGGGATCTGAATATGTTCCGTTAGAGTAACTTGATACAATGACCGCCGGGGTAGTAATACAGGCCTTCGTATTATGTGCTACAATACCAACATTTTATTAATAGTATCATACTATTATTACTTGTTTATTTTAAACATTCTTTCTATTATAATAAAGAATAGCTCCGAATAATAGCGGGAGCATACAACTATTGCATACATTTTCATAGCTTTAATATCTTACTAAGATGTTATAAATAATTGTGTCAGTTTGTTAGATAGACAGCACATGAAATATCATGAACCGCATAGAAAGTACAAGATTTGCTTATTGGCTCATATATTAAACATACAGGTCCAAGCAGGACAGGAAACGAGTTTTGATCATTCCCAAATGTATAAAGTACAAATGCAGGATGAAAAATACAAAATATGTCTATTGTTTTTTCATTGGAATACTTACCATTAAGTCTGTAGAAGTGTCCTAAGCTTGAACCAAAGAAACCGTTCATTCCCATTTTGAAAGGGTCGATACAAACTTTATTTGCTTGTATCTGAGAAATTTGTGTCTTTGAGTCTGTTGGATGCAGAATATCATCGATCAGAAAACTAGTTTTTCTAGGCTGAACATTTGCCGCAGCCGCGGCTGCTGCTGCCATAAATGCATTCGAGTTCGGAGCACAACCTCCAAAGAATAATGGGTGATGTCCTGATGGTCCTAACCTGAGAGGACTACCTGTAGTTAACGGAAATGCACCAAGAGCCATGATTTTAAAGTATCAAAAAGTCACCTAAATTTCGCTGTATTGCTTATCTGTCGTATTCAGAATAGGATAAAAATACTTGCTGAACCAGAGTTGGTAAACACAGTAATACCGTTGGCACTTCAATCGTTGATAAAGCTTTATTTAAGTATTTACTTCTTACTCAAAAACTTTGCATGATTCAAAGACGAAGCTTGAGTATCGATGCTTACCGGAAAATAATAAAGACACGTGTTTGTCCCTGCTCTTTACTGCAGTACTGTTTTGACTGATTATGTGTAGCACTCTTTGAATATCTTAACCACTGTAATCACCACGTGACCGTTTTCTTGGTTGCCATGACTTGTTTATGCAGGTGTTCTCGGCAGGCGTCTAAAAAGTAAGTTACCAACAAAATCTTCAATCACAGCGCCACCAACTAAGCACATTCGGCGCAGCAGACTGTCACAGCTTTCCAGAAATACAAATTATTCAACTGTTTATCTTACAGTATCGTACTGAATATCTTTGTCAGTAAATTCAAATTTAACTTTTGTGAACTGTTAATGATGCTAAAATTATTTTCATTTATAATGCTTTATGATTTTAGAAACAGAATGGCACCGCCTTTGGTCTCTCAACATCCTATTGAAAAATACAACGTTTGTGCGAAATAGATATATGATCCTTCACGCCAATCTCTCAGTTCATAATATTATTGAATAAAAACAATTTCGACTTGTGTTTCATTTACAATATTACACAATGAAAACATTATTAAAGTAACAACTTATTGTTTGCTAGTATTCGGATCGTTGCAATTAGTCATATTAAATTTTCTCCGCATTTGAGAAGGTATTTGCAATTCTATCTAAGGATTTGAGACGAATAATAGGACGAAAGTTCCGAGGAAATGCAAAATCCCCGAGGCGGAAAAACTCCAGTGCGATCAGCACATTATATCATAGATCAAGAATTTCAATGTGTTGCGGTGTCTGACTTTCCTTAGCTGGAAGTCTAAACGTGTTCTTAAACTAGATACAGTACTGGGAACTCATGAAGTAAAAGTGTTTTTTAAAAATGTATAAATCCAGGTGCAGTAATAGTATCACGTACGGTATGCAGCATAAAGATCATGAACAATATGTCATTTTCAACTGTATGTGTAAAAATATTATCAACCGATATATTTTGTTTAAAGAATTATGAAGTTTGATATCAGTATCTATGTCTATTGGCTTAAATTTGATAATTTTTTTTATTGAATATTTTAAAACTTAAAGTACGCAAGGTCACCATAATTTTTTAAAAATGTCAAAGATATGATAAATTCAAATGGCTTGGAGAGGTTTTCTTTGAGATGTCTTATAAACATTACTTTTATTAGCGTGTCAATCTTCGTCAAAAATGGAAGAACACATTGTGTAATTGGAATTGTGGCCTTCGTTTTTCGTTCAGTTGCCCATTTCAAAACATTATATTATTTTTGTTTCTTCCAAATACTTTCATTATTAGGAGGTGTGTTTCAACAATATCGCCTGTCTCTGCTCATTAAGCTGGATGCTACTTTAGAGTAATCTTCTGTATGCCAGTGGCATGGGTATAACAGATGCGATTAAAAGCATTGCTAAATAGGTAGAATATCGGTAACGCCTCTGGAAACGGTATCTTTATCAGCATGTTCGATGTGTCGAACGTTTTACTTCTCATTAAAACTCTGCAAGTTTGTACCTCGCCGAAGGCGCGCCCCAACATAACATTCTTGTCGTGAGAAGAGCACAAGTTTATACCGATTAAACTTTGTTTTTGCTAAAACTCTTTACGGAAGTATTCGTTTCCATTTCTTGGAGATCTTGTAATATCGTCACAAGATATGCACTGATTGTCAAACCGACCGCGTTACCCAACTTCCAGAATTGTTGAATAGATAGATTACTACAATCATAACTGTCTAACTGAATACAATTATACAGTTTAGACGTATCGCGTTTCTTTCAGCTACTTTGGATGTGTGCCCCTTTATGCTGTTTTTTTCCTGTACCTTGATAAAGACCTATTAGGATAGATATTAATTTTCTCCAGTAAAGTGTTTCTAAAGTTCATACATATCATTCGCATTATATGTTACGTTTCTATATATATTATTCATTGCATTATCCCTTTTGCTGTTTCTGAGTTGTTTCCCATGCCTTTAAATTACTTATATGCCTTTAATCTACTATATATATATATATATATATATATATATATTACATCTCATCGTCTTTTTCATTAGATTTTATCATAATTATTGTAATAGCCAACTTATTTTTTGTTTGTCACACATGCTGAAGAAGACCAGAGGACGCTGTTTATGATTCATATTGTATTTGCGGTTGCAGTTGTATTTTGGTTTGAGTTGTACTTTCTTCAAAATTTTTGTAAGTCAGATTTATCTAAAAATTATCATTAATAATGTTGTATTGTTGTTACCCTTGTTACTCTGGAATTTGTTGTTATTGACATTGTCATTGTTATTGTTGTCATGTCGAAATGTATTGCGGTATCGTTAATTATTCTTTAAATTATATAATGCCTGTTAATATTAATACGAAGCGGCGCATAAGCTTTGACAAAATGCACTATACAAAATTTATATTAGTATTATATTATTATTATATTATTATTATTATTATAGTATTGATATTATGATTACTATTATTATGTCATTTAATATTCAAAATATTTCAAATAATCGTAGTTTTTACCAGTATTAATAGATAATGGATAATACTTGTTTAACCTACGAAATATGGAGCAGATTGTTATTGTTATTATTCATAATGCCTAATTAATATTAATATGAAGGGCATAGAAACATGGTCAAAATGCGCTATACAAAACTGACACTATTATAATATTATATTAAATTATTATTTTTATTTTATTATTATTATTATTATTATTAATAATAATATTATTATTATTATTATTATTATTATTGTTGTTGTTGTTGTTGATGTAATTATTATTATTTTTATTTTATATTATTATTATTGATATTATTATTACTATTATTATGTCATTCTTATATTCAAAGTATTGCCAATAATCGAAGCCTGGAAAACATAAATTTTGCGGATAATGCTGTAGTTTTGTTAACCTACGAAATATGAAATTAGAGCGGATTAAGATGAACTGAACTTTGAGAGCACTAACAACTCACTCTTTTGTTTCCACTCAATTTTCTCATCATGTGACAATCTAGTGAGACAGGTTTATCAAGGCCTTGACATCCCAAGTTTGTACTTCCATGCTATCAATTGTCCCCCGGAGTGGGTCTGTGTTGATTTTAAGACAGTGTGCTACAATTGCTCCTTACTCCGCGATAGAACGCAAACAACACACTCAGTTGGAGATGGTGTAATTGGGGTGGTACCCAGGTGGACATTGGGACCTTATCGCTACGATAATCCGAGGGGGTCGTTGTAATCGCTTCGTTGTGAACCCCGAAGGCCTAACCTTATAAGCAAACGGAAACGATGTGCTAATATGATTTTAACCTTTATTCCAGACGTCACAAAGGAATTATGAGCGTCATTCACTGTTGATGTCTTGTCTGTTCGATATGATATGGATGCGCTTTGCAGCGTATCAAATATTACCTTTGCTATTTTCTCTTGTAGATTTAAAATAACATATTCAGAATATCAATTTCCAGTACCAGTCTTAAGTGTGGTCTCTCACGACGCACCTACTAACCCAATACACCATTTATGAAACCTGTGTTAGTAGTTACATTTGAAGGACGAAAACTTTTTTTTTACTGTTTCATTATCCGTAATTCCGAACATGTTTTAATTGCTTGAGGTAAGTTGATTTTATTTAGGTATGGACCAAACCTCCGTTGTTATATATGCCAACAATGTATGAGAGTTTTATACTAATTGTTAGAACATAATATTCCCATCCCCACCCCACCCTTTAAAAGAAAGAAAAGATAAATTAAAACATTGAATAGCTCTTAAATAGGATAACATAGGCCTAATAATACATTTTTTTTTAAATAATGTCAGGGGCTATTTACAAAACTTAATTTTAAAAGATAGTTGATTACAACCAAATATAAGAACGGATAACGCGGTCGCATGATGGTTTTTTGGTTTTTTTTTTCCAATTTTGAAAGATGAAATAACATTCTAAAGTCTTGGTAAATTGCGAAAAAGCAACTTAAATACAATTTTTTTTTTTGAAAGTTTTTTAGGTCAACATAAGTAGATATAAATCTTGAATATTCTTTTTTTTCTGTGTTGTTATTCTTTAGGGAAAAAAATGAGAGATTATACTTGCAAAAACATCACTTATTCGTAATTCTACTTGATTGTGCGTCATTCACTGAAACCGACCTTGTGATCAAAAATCTGCTGTACCAAATAAGATTATTTAAGATATAATAAGAGAGATAACAAACGCTGGAATGTGGCCGCTGATTGGTAACAAGATCTGGGAAATAATTGCTGATAAAATGGCATAACATTATAGATCAGAGGTTACGTCTGTCGCATTTTGAAACTTTGCACCTAGTTCATGGGATAAAACCTTGTTTTTTGTTTTTTCCCACTCACTCTTCAGACATATCTCACTTCGTCCTAAATCCCATATAAATAAAATGAAATAATTATAATTTATGCACAATACACTTTTAAATATAGCAAGAAAATGATTTAGGTTTTGTAAACTGCAATACATAGATTTTGACTGCGTCTCTAGAATTGTATGAAGTACCTGAACTTTCCTAATATATACACACATATAGATTAAAAGGCAAAATACTGCAAGGTGATTATGCACAAATCA